CATGACGATTAGAGGCAATGAGAAAACTACTAAGCCTTTTTTCAATTCAAATCATTTTTCATATTTGTAAAAAATTAAATTATTTGCACGTGAGGTGTTCAGGTTACAACGAATTAACGTACATGACAACTTTTACTGACTTATCTTCTCCTTCGTTTCGCGAGCTCCGTCTCACCAGTTCGCTAAAATACAGATGTGCCATCACGAATCTAGCTGCACGCAGGTGCTTTAAGGACTTCATTTGTCTCAAGGTATTATCCACGTAGAACAATGAAAAGACCTATGACTGGGACAGGCCGTAGCATTGTAATACTGCAAGGAAACATCTCTTATCCTAGGTGGATATTGTTTTGTTTATTCTAGAATTTTCGCGCAAATCTATACATGGGAATTTTCTGCGCATAGCTATTCGTAATTTTGAACTGATAGATTATAGAGGGTGTATTTAGTTAACAGCACCCGACGCCAACTATTGACAGAATATTTAGATCTGACCTTCACTCTCATAGTGCACCTAATGGATTTGACGTTCACTCACATAGTGCACCTAATGGATTTGACCTTCATTCTCATATGCACTTAATGGATTTGACCTTCACTCTCATAGTGCACCTAATGGATTTGACCTTCACTCTCATAGTGCACAGAATGGATTTGACCTTCACTCTCATAGTGCACATAATGGATTTGACCTTCACTCTCATAGTGCGCCTATGGATTTGACCTTCACTCTCATAGTGCACTTAATGGATTTGACCTTCATTCTCATAGTACGCCTAATGGATTTGAACTTCACTATATGTTAGGGTTGTTCTTGACCTCCTTCACTATGTATATGTTAGGGTTGTTCTTGACCTCGTTCAATATGTATATGTTAGGGTTGTTTTTCTGAATTTAAAAAGTACAATGTTTGTTTGTTAAAAGAAAATTTCACAATGGGAAACTCTTCCACCGCAGAGATCGAAGCACGAATTTTAGCGTTATAAATCCTAATTAAGCTATAGATAGTGAGTAGCTTACTTTCATTGCAAACAAGATATTTAAATAATGAATAAAAATTATCTTAAAATAACAGTATCGTGCATTTTGTGTATTTGCTGCGGCCCCCAGTTTGGGAACCCCTGTTTTATAACTTTTTTTATGTTGATTAATGTTTAAAATAACTTTTTACGATGAAAGATTCAATTCAAACTTAGTGTTTCCTTTCCCATATACAGCTTCCACCTACTCAGGTGGATTTACTCTCAGCTTTGAAAGAAAAGCCGATTTTCACCGAAGGAGGTACAGAATGGGTTTCTGTTGAAGACCGGAAAGAACCGGATGTTCAGGAAGAATCCGAAGGTCAGCTATCATCTCTTCTAATGACAAATCCTGAGATTTGGAGAAAGGAAACGGCTGATAAAAAACCTATGTTTATAAGCCATCTGAATGAGTTAATCGAAAAGAAAGGAAACAACAAAGATAGGTGGCGCTCTCTTCAGGGAGACAACTTAATAAATGATGTATTTTCTCAACAAGATGGCAGATTCGATGAAGATGAAAATGTGTGGCTGAAAAATGCGAACTTTTTGAAAATTTTAAATACTCATCCAGGTATGTATGTACGTTTAGTTGTCGTCAAAAGTTTAGATAACCCAAAATATTACATAACTCAAAAACTTACATAACCCAAAAGTTTACATAATTCAAAAGTTTACAAATCTCAAAAACTTACATAACCCAAAAGTTTACATAACTCAAAAGTTTACAGATATCAAAAATTTACATAACTTATAAGTTTTGATACCCAGAAAGTTTAAAAACCAATTATAATTTCTAGAAATTTCTCGAAAACATTATACAGAAGTATTCCTACACTACGGATATTTATGTACTAGTTTGTAGTGTCTACAGAAGTATTCCTACACAACGGATACTTATGGTACTAGTTTGTAGTGTCTACAGAAGTATTCCTACACAACGGATACTTATGGTACTAGGTTTTAGTGTCTACAGAAGTATTCCTACACAACGGATACTTATGGTACTAGTTTGTAGTGTCTACAGAAGTATTCCTACACAACGGATACTTATGGTACTAGGTTTTAGTGTCTACAGAAGTATTCCTACACAACGGATACTTATGGTACTAGTTTTTAGTGTTTACAGAAGTATTCCTACACCACGGATACTTATGGTACTAGGTTTTAGTGTTTACAGAAGTATTCCTACACAACGGATACTTATGGTACTAGGTTTTAGTGTCTACAGAAGTATTCCTACACAACGGATACTTATGGTACTAGGTTTTAGTGTCTACAGAAGTATTCCTACACAACGGATACTTATAGTACTAAGAGACATTTTTACTTTGTACCGTGATTTTACTGAAATGTTCATATGTGTGACATCATTTGTTTCTGGTCTGGTTGTTTGAAGTTTAAAACAGTTATATATATTCGAGTTAGCTGGTGTATTACCATCAATTTTTTTTTCAGGAAATGTTAGATTTAACTTATCTCTAGAAGTAAGAACGTTTGTTTAAATGCGTTTGCTTTGGGGAAGGTTTCGGGTTTCACTCACGAAACGAACAATTTTACAAAATAACATTTTTTGTCACTTAGAATTCAGAGAACATATAAATCCAGTAGACAACGTAGACCCGGAAATAGAAGAAGATCTGGTGGGGAAATTTATGGATGGTTTTGAGCGGCCAATGCGCTACGATGCAAAGAAACCAGGTCCGGCTTATTACGTCCATGAGCCCGAGTCCTCGGAAATCGGCTACCAAAATGTAAGGACTAATTTTTATGAAATAATAATATATTTTGTAAAGAATGGAGTTTTTAAAATTTTGAGTGAATGTGTCAAATGTCCTCGCTAGGATAATTTGATGTGTAAAATGTCCTCGCTAGGATAATTTGATGTGTAAAATGTCCTTGATAGGATAATTTGATGTGTCAAATGTCCTTGCT